AGTCATGCTTGATAAGGGAATTTCTAGTATTTATATAATTTAAGCTCGTTTTTATGTACTAAATTTATTTAATTTGAACGTTGTCGACAATTTTAAATGAACAATATGACACTTAATATTAATAACTCTGCTGCTTGCCCTTAAATTATTATTATTCAACGTATTTTCGATTTCTATTTTAAAGCTTATCAAATAGCAATCAAGTATTTGAAAGCAATTTATTACAGTTGTAAATAATTGTATACTCGATTGCTGTGTGATTAGCCAATAAATATAAATTATTCGTTTTTGCAAGAATTCGGTCTTCGTTTATGCAAGAATTACGTTAAATAATATCACATTTAATTGTTCTCTTAAGGTGCGACTATGTAGACGCGAATTTATAGCGAGCGAGAGGTTGCGAGCGATTTAGTTTTCGCAAAGGAAAGCCATGCACAAACGAGAAGCTAGAAATAACGCTGGCTAGAGCGAATTCCTGGTTCTCGCACATATCTGACAGGTTTTGATATTTATCGCGTCTCGTCTCTTCTCGCAACATATTCTCGCTCGCTCGGAAAATTCGCTCGCTCGCGTCTGCATAGTCGCACCCTTATTGTCAAAGCTCTTAGAAAATTAGGTTAATGTCCAGATACGTGGACTGTCATGGCGGCATTTCCTGTTTTCCGACTGCCAGCCTCGACACAGGAGCGGTTTGGAGACGACATGTCACGTGACGACGCGAGCGAACGGCGGCGGCTGTCATGGCGCCTCATCGCTGATTCCAGCAAACAAAAGGAAACAGTGAGACGCACGTTCTAACCTAACCTAACCTATTCTAATAATATAATTGGTAATAATTATGATAATTTATTAGAATAGGTTAGGTTAGGTTAGAACGTACTGTACGTTTCCACTGTTTCCTTTTCTTTTCTTTCCCGGAATCAGAGGTGAGCCGTCATGACAATCCACGTGTCTGGACTTTAACCAAGAAAAAAGAAAAGGAAACAGTGGGGACGGACGTTCTAACCTAACCTATTCTAATAAATTACCACAATTATTACCGATTAAATTATTAGAATAGGTTAGGTTAGGTTAGAACGTCCGTCCCCACTGTTTCCTTTTCTTTTCCGGAATCAGAGATGAGCCGCCATGACAGTCTACGTATATGGACGTTAACCCGCGCGTCGGTTTTCCCCATTTATCGCGGCGCAGCAGCCGCCGCCGTTCGCTCGCGTCGGTTTGGAGACAACATGTCACGTGACGTGACATGTTGTCTCCAAACCGCTCTGGTGTCGAGGCTGGCAGTCGGAAAACAAAAAATGCCGCCATGACAGTCCATGTATCGGGACATTAACCGAAAATTAAATATAAAT